CTCAACCCTAACCCTAAACCCTAAACCCTATTCAAAAAAAACATAATAATAATAATAATAAAACCCTAACCCTAAACCCTAAACCCTAAACCCTATTAAAAAAAAAAAAATAGAACTCTCACGGCTCCGCGAGCTAAGGCTCCGACCGGCGGCGTGCCTTGCGCTGCGCTTGAGTTAGGGTTTAGGGTTTAGGGTTTAGGGTTTAGGGTTTAGGGTTTAGGGTTTAGGGTTTAGGGTTTAGGGTTTAGGGTTTAGGGTTTAGGGTTTAGGGTTTAGGGTTTAGGGTTTAGGGTTTAGGGGTTAGGGCTTAGGGTTTAGGGCTTAGGGCTTAGGGTTTAGGGTTTAGGGTCTAGGGTCTTGGGTCTAGGGTTTGCTTCCCGGTGCTTTAGGGTGTAAGGGTTATCGGGTTAGGAGTTTAGGAGTTTAGGAGTTTAGGAGTTTAGGAGTTTAGGAGTTTAGGAGTTTAGGAGTTTAGGAGTTTAGGAGTCTAGGAGTCTAGGAGTCTAGGAGTCTAGGAGTTTAGTGTTTAGGGCTGAGGGGAAAGAGCGAAGCGAATACAACTCTAGAACACGGACGGATGAGGAGAGGAATAGTACCGAATAACCAGCCATGCTTGAAAACAGCGAACAGTAGCAGCATTAAACCACAAGAAAAAGGACAAGGGGAACCCTAACACGTTTCATGGACTGACCATGTGAACGACAACTCCCACAAAACCTTACCCTTCAATTTCCGGAGCTCAAGGTTCTACTTGGCAAGAGACAGGACCCGAAACCCTAAACTCCTAAACCCTATAAACCGGATACAAGCTCAAGCCCCGCACGCACCTCAACCCTAACACTACAAACCTGCAAGCCCTACACGCCCTCAAACCCTTTAAGGCCTCTACCGTAAACTCACAAATCTTAGAAACCCTCTACAAGCCCTGTAAGCCCTAGAAACCCTACGTAACCTATGCGCTTTTGGGCCCCGAAGCAGTCCCCCACGCCTCCCACTGTTTGCACACCGAGAAGTGAAAGGAAAAGGCACCCTGAAACCCTTCTTGCAAGGCCTGAGAAGCCTTTAAGCTAGGTTGCCCAGTCTCCTAGGATTAAAAAGGGTGCCCTTTTTTGCTCAAAGGGGTTTATATAAGGGAACCTACACCCCCCCAAAAAAAGGGAAAAGGGCTAGTACTGGGCATCCTAGTATGGTTTCTTTTTATACGAAAATAGGGGACCCAGAATTACGACCCCAAATACTCGGATTCTCTTATACAAAGGTCCCCAATAAGGTTACTTGATGCTGCCGTGAGGCATGGTGGAGCTGTAGCAAGTTGCCTCCGACTCATCATCGCAAGGCACGTCCTCGCCACATCTCACATCTCTGGTGCTTCAAGCACTTGTGTGCATGTAACCCCAAACTTAGGGTTTAGGGTTTAGGGTTTAGGGTTTAGGGTTTAGGGTTAACTTTCGGGTCTGGAAACTTGGAGGATGGGTCTACATTGTTGCTTGGGCTGGCTCGGGTTTATGTAGGGTTTAGGGGTTTGGGGTTCAAAGCTTAGAGTTTAGGGTGTAGGCTTTAGCCCCACTCGCCAGCCTTTCGAGCCGGATGTCGAACTAATGTCGAACCATGTGCTCCCTTATATACTGTACACAACCCAAGGGCCCATACATCAGAACCCTTTAAAGGAGGTAAGGGGCCATATTAAGGGAGAGCGGAACGACACTAAACCCTAAGCCCTGCAACTACCCTTAGAAACTAAAACCCTAAACCCCAAACCCCAAACCCCAAACCCCAAAGCCTAAACCCTAAACCCTAAACCCTAGTCGCTTCCCCCGGCTGGGTGCCCCACTTGCGTGGAGATGGGCAGCATCCGGCCTCAGTGGCTAGGTCCCAGAGTACCCTCGGAATGCACAAAGGCTGTAGGGTTTAAGCGTTAGGGTTTAGGTTAAAGGGAGGGTTTAGGGTTTAGGGTTTAGGGTTTAGGGTTTAGGGTTTAGGGTTTAGGGTTTAGGGTTTAGGGTTTAGGGTTTAGGGTTTAGGGTTTAGGGTTGTATCACCCCCGCCCCACGTCCCCAAAATCGCTGTCACACAAGTCCAAACCCTCAGCCCCGGAGGCTCAACATCAGGTCTACCAGAGGGCCCGAAACCCGAAACCCTAAACCCGACTATAAACCCCATGTACACCTTTCAGTCGACTCGAAAAGTATCTCTAGCCAGGATGCCATCATTAAGCAACATAGGGAAATTAACCGCGACTCCCAGTTGGCCCAGCCACCGTAGTGAAGGAAGATTGCTTATCAGTCAGATGTCGGACTACCCTATACCCTAAACCCTAAACCCTAAACGTCCCTAAACCCTAAACCCTAGACTCTAAACCCTAAACCCTCAACCCTCAACCCTAACAAAACCACAGCCCTGCCTGCGACTGGCCCCGGCGCAGCGACACTCGCAGCGCGCCGGCGCCTGGGCCAAGGAGGCAATGGAGGGTTTAGGGTTTAGGGATCAGGGTGTAAGGGTAGGGTTTTAGGGTTTTGGGGTTAGGGTTCAGGGTTTAGGGTTTTAAGGTTTAGGATTTAGGAGCTAGAGTTTAGGGTTTAGGTTTTAGGATTTAGAGAAACTGTATAGGGTTTGCGTCCGGGGTATTTGGGCAGGGTTTGATGAGTTTGGACGAGTTTTTCCTTTTGCTTCTGGTCGAACTCGCCTTTCCTTGCCTTTTCCATCCGACTTCTCTGTGCCTTTTCTAGGTCTGCGGGCGGTTTGCTTGTTGGGATTTTGGGCGGGTTGTGATGTGTCTTGACCGAGTGTTGACATTTGTTTTGCTCCTTGCTGATCTCTCCCTCTTCTTTTTCTTTTCTTTAAGACGCTTCTGTGCCTCTTGAAGGCCGGATTTGAGTACAAAACCTTAGTTTTTTCAAAAACCAATTCAACTCCTTCGAAGCTTCCGATAGAACGTCTCCTTTCACAACTTGCGCTTCTCTTTGGGCAGAAATGGATGGAGATCTTCAAACGACATGCTTTTCAGGAGGCTTGCCTGGCCCTTGTTCCATGAGAGGCATGTATATGCGACTCCAGAGAGACGCTTTTGGATTGATTTGCTTAGACGCGGCTTGTCAGCTGCTAGGGACAAAAAACATGGGGGACCCAGAATGGCACCACATACAGTTTCCTTGTCTCGTGGTCTTGAGGGTGTAGTGCTTGGGGTTTTTAATAAGGCCTTGGACTTGTGTCGGCGTTGGGGTGGGGGGGTGGGGGGGGGGGAGGGGGGCGAAACCCTAAACCCTAAACCCTAAACCCTAACTAAACCCTCACAACCCTGCTCTTACTTGTGGCCTGTGGTCATTGCCAGCCGCCTGGGGCCCTCGCAGCTCTTGGATGTGCTTCATAGAGGCAGCCTGCCGTGCTTCAAAGGAGGCGCTCAAGGCTTAGGATGTTGGGCGGCGTATGAGAAGGCTGTTTAGGCGTTTAGGGTTTGGGTAGTCTATAAGTGGCGGCAAAGGTGGTCTGGGTTTGGGGTTTTTGTAGATTATAGGAAGGCCGTTGGGGTGTTAGGTCGGGGTTGATCTACACAGAGGCACCTTCACCCTGGAACCCCAAACTGTAAACTTCGTTGGGCATCCTACAAAAAGAAAGGGGTACTGAGAACGCCCACAGGAGCCGCTTGCAAGCTACATAGTTTAGAGAGGTTTCAAGGTGCCGAAATTTGCGAACCCCTAAACCTGAAACTCAACATCCAGCTCATAATATTTCCAAATTTTTTGTCGGAGCCCTGGACAGTACTTGGAGGTTCATGTGCAGATCTATGGAGGGTTATGTACCTGAAGGTCCGGTACGCAATAGACTTATGGCTACCCACGAACCTTCCCAAACCCCAAATCTCAAACCCCAAACCCTGAACCCACAAATGCTTCGCCTCAGCTCTCTTAGTTGATGTAGGACGCAGCTACGCAAGTAGCTTTGAGCAGCTCAGGGTCAAGCAAGTCTAGAGTGCCTGGAATACTGAAGAAACGGTCTCATCAGACCTAAACCCTAAACCCTAGACCCGAAGCCCTAAACCCTGAACCCTACATCCTAAACCTTAAACCCACAAAATTGAAGGTCTACCTACTTTCGTAAACCCCCGTGCCGTGGTTGCAACAGTTGCCAGCAAGACCGCTGTTTGGTCCAAGTAGTCCGTTGCGCGCCTCACACGCGCGCCATGGGCTTCGTCATCAACCCAAAGCCAAAACCCTGTTTGGTAGTCTTTGTAGAACCCTGATGCTCCAAGTATATAAGCACGTCGAACAGTAATAAAGGCCTTTCTTCAGAAGGGGACACGTAATACAGGAGCCCATATAAATACTTGCCAAGATCATCACCTCGGAATGCCCTTTTGTTATATTGCGCCATAAACAACACCGGGATACTCAGCTTCATTAGCCCCTGCTCCCCCCCCCAGATTTAACAGCTGCATATCCTCTAACTACAATCGTAAGATTGAATGTTAAAGGGTAGGAACCGGAGGGGGGGGGAGGTGACTAAGTACATTAAGCCATATTAAGCCCTAAGCCCCAAACCGACCCGAAACCCCCCAGAGAGCCGACCCTAAACCGAGATGCCCATCTTAAACTAAGGGTTTAGGGTTTAGGGTTTAGGGTTTAGGGTTGAGGTTTGAGGTTTAGGGTTTAGGGTTTAGGCGCCTTAGACTATTAGATTACCCTCAATATGAGCTCATTTAGGGCTGGTTCCGGTGGGACATGAGGGGTTCGGGGCTCTGGGTTTAGGGCTTCGCTACAGCAAGGTAGGATTGAAGAGAAGCCGGGCGTCTCCTGCGGGAACTTGAATTCCGCTGTTCGCAGTGGGGTGCAAACAAGTGAGTTAAAAAGAAGTACAAGTATGAATATGTAAGTACTCGATACAAGAAAAGCTTGCCTCCTAAGCAAGACCTCCCTTTTCTGCCCACCCCATCGAACCCAGTGGGGGCAGGGTGACCCTCTCTGCTACGTACACTGCCCTTTGTCTTGCGCAGGCTCGGTACGACATTACATGGATGGTGTCATGGCCAAGCCTGTTGGCGGGTTGCATTGACCGTTATTGTTGTAACCGAAGCAGACTAGCTGACCATCTGTCTGCACTGCGCAAGTGTGGTAGTCTCCCGCAGATACGGCCAAGATTGGTCCCAAGTCAACGGGCACATCGCAATGACCTCTGCAGTTGTCTCCAAAACACACCAGCTGCGCGTTGTCTGCACGGACTGCACAAGTGTGGTCTCCTCCGGCGGAGACCGCCAACACCGGACCCAAGTCTGGTGGCACATCGCACTGACCACGGAGGTTGCGTCCAAAACACACCAGCAGGCCATCTGTCCGCTTGGCGCAGGTGTGAGACGTACCTGCGGAGACAGCAATCACAGGTCCCAAGTGTGCGGGCACATTGCACTGTCCGTTGCTATTGTCTCCAAAGCAAAATAGATTACCATCCATCCGAACAGCACAGGTGTGTTCCCCACCTGCCGAAACCGCCAAAACTGGGCCCAAGCTCTCTGGCACATCACACTGACCAGCGGCATTTCTCCCAAAACAAACTAGCCGGCCGTCTGTACGCACAGCGCACGTATGGTAATCTCCCGCCGAAATGGCCAAGACTGGTCCCAAGTCTTGCGGAACGCTGCACTTCAAACCGAAACATGCCAGGTGCTCGTCCTCTGCCCGCACGACGCACGTGTGATAGAGTCCCGCTGAGACCGACCGCACCAGTCCCCGGTCTTGCGGTAGAGCCGCGGCGTGGCCAAAGCAAACCAGCTGACCATCATTCTGCAGCGCGCAGGTGTGAAATCCACCCGCGGCAACTGAAGCCTGCTCCAAGCCGTCCAAGGTCAGCGTGCCTGTGAGTATGCCCAGGCTTCTGACCCAACATGCCCTCCCTCCCCTTGGCGCAGCTTCTTCCTTGGCTGCACTCAGGAGGGTAGCTGAAAATTAAACTTTTAGCTGCCTTATTAATTAAGAAACCCAATTAACCCAAAAAGGGTAAGGATCTAAAGTTACAGTAATGTACCACAAAGCTTCTTCCAGACTTCTCGACCTCGACCGGGCTCTATGCGACAAGCCATTGCACGGGAATCCACGAAGCAGGCCCCTCATTCGGTCATTGTTCTGGTGGCAAATCCCACAGAGCCCCAAAGCGGGACGCCCAAAGGGTTTAGGGTTTAGGGTTTAGGGTTTGAGAACTGAGCTTCTGAGCAGTTTCGGGCGCGCGAAGACCAAGTGCGCAATCCAAACGCATCGCGGTCCCTTCAACTGCGGCACTAGTTCACACACGAAGGCAGGTTCAGCTTTAAGAAAACACGAAGCTCGTGACCGCGACAAAACAATTAAGATGAAGACTGGGACCACCACTTTCGTCAACAACCCCCCACCGGTGTTTCTTCGCGCGAAAAGCCCTTTGTAATGCAAAGTGACCCTAAACCCTAAGCCCTAACCCCTAAACCCGAAACCCTAAACCCTAAGCCCCAAACCCTAAACGCTTTCGTTCAGGCAACTGTGCCGAGATGTTCAGTCTAACAGCTCTCACGCGATTGTCCGGCGCCGCCCTCATCCCTGCGCTCCCCAAGGCCTCAGTCTCAGACCCTCAAAAAGCCCTCAAAAACCCCTACCCCTAAACCCTAAACCCTAAACCCTAAACCCTAAACCCTAAACCCTAAACCCTGAACCTAAAAAACTCTAAACAACCCGGGGAGGGCTGCGCCTGCTGAGCATCTCCAGCTCCACGAGGGTCTGCTCCACAATCTGCGGTTGATTTGGGCGGTTTAGGGTTTAGGGTTTAGGGTTTAGGGTTTAGGGTACCCTGAGCACCCCTGATTTGCGCTTCCGAACCCTGAAAACCCCTTTGAAGGGATAAAAAGGGGGGACCCCTGGAAAGGACCCTTCATCTTGTTTTCCTTATAAAACCCATATATGTATATATATATATATATATAACAACTATATATACCTTCTGCACTCCCATGTCCCTAAGTAGCCCCCAAAGAACCCTAACAACCTCTAAGGTCCCTTCTAAGGGTCCCTCCTTTAGTCCCTTGACCCTAGAAGCCTAGGACAGCTGAACCCCGAAGACCCTGAACCTCTAAGAGCCGAAGACCCCCAAACCAACCCCGAAATCCTGGGGTTTAGGGTCTAGGGTTTAGGGCTTAGGGCTTAGGGCTTAGGGTTTAGGGTTTAGGATTTCCTTAAGACCCTAAACCCCTACAACCCTAAAACCCGAACCTCTAAAACCCCCTGAACCCCTAAAGCCATAAAACCCGAAGACCCTAAAACCTCTAAACCCTAAAACCTCAGCAAAGACGTAGGGTTTCTGATTTTAAGGGCTGCTAGTATAAGGGGGAACATCCCTGAACGCCCAAACCCTAAATTTCCCTAAACCTTTCTAGACCCTAAACCCTAAACCCTAAGCCCTAAGCCCTAAACCCTGTCCCACCGACCTGCTTGAGCTCAGCAAAGGGAAAATCAGCCAAAGAAGCCGACGGCACTTCCTGCAAAGGGTTCAGGGTTTAGGGTTTAGGGTTTAGAGCTAGGGTTTCTTGGTAGCCCAGGAACCATATTATCATAAGGGCACCCTGTTTTTGAGGTTGGTTTCCTTTACAAAAGGGTACGTACCACTGGGATAGCAAGGTTTTTTGGGCCCCCCCCCCCCCCGGGGTCGGGTCTAGGGTTTGGCGTTTGGGCTTTGGGCTCTAGGTCCCAGTCTACCTTAAGCAAAAGACGGGTACGCCTTTGTTTGCACATTGGGGGTGATAAGGGAACAAGGCCTAAACCCTAAGCCACTCATCAAGGAAATGCAGGGACCTTTTGCTCAGTTTTGAGTCTCGGGTTTGGGGTTGAGGGGTGTCGGGTTTTAAAAGGGTTCCCCAACGCACTGAGACTGAAAAAGGGGCATCAACGGGGTGTTTGAGTGCCTGACCGAGAGATCCTAACCCTTTAAGGCAGGGGCATCCGAAAACACTGACAAAACCCTAACACCTAAGCCCCAGAGTTCAGGTTTGTGGAATAAGCAGGGCTGTGTGCACCCTGTAGCTACAAACCGCAAACCAAAAGACATGCATCGGATATACCCGAGGGTTTAGGGTGTAGGATTGGGATGTTCCCCCTTATACTATCAGTCCTTAGCAGGGATTACAGTATCCCCCCATTATAAACCCCATTAAGGACTGTTAGTCTAAGGGGGAACATCCCAAGTTTAGGGCTTCTTCCCGACAACTCCGAACACTCGTCCGGCCTCACGGGGCACTGGGTGAAGCGTGACTTGTGCGTCCAGGCCTCAACAGCTGTAAATTGGGATGCCCCCCTCCTTCCCCCTTATACGAACAGGTCCTTAACACCCTAAACCCTAAACCCTGAACCCGAAACCCTAAACCCTAAACCCTAGACCCTAGACCCTAAACCCTAAACCCTAAACCCTAAACCCTAAACCCTAAACCCTAAACCCTAAACCCTAACAGGGGGTTGTAACAAAGGGGTATTATAATCCCTATTAAGGACTGTTAGTATAAGGGGGAGCATCCCAAGCTGCATTTAAAGAGTCGGGGAGTACTTGGAGGGTCATGGCACGTATTGACCAATTATACCTGTACTTATAGCCCACTTCTAAGCCCCTTAAGGGCCCTAATATGGTTATCATTGGGCTATAAGTACCATTATTAGTGGGCTAGTAAGTACCCTGAACCTCCGAGAAGGGTTTAATTGCAGGTTGAAGAGGAGGGAGTCGCGATTCCTGAGTGTGCAGCTTGGGCGGTCACTACTGTTCGTTTAAGAACCCCCCAAAGTCCCCAAAGACATAAAGAATAATAATCCCTATATTGCGCTTGTAAGGAAGAATATCTTCCTGGGGTTCTTAACCAAACCCTAAACCCTAAACCCTAAACCCTAAACCCTAAGCCCTGAAACCAAGTTGACCCACAAGTGCTTCTAGGCATGAAGGGCATCCTGGGCGTCCCTGAAAGGCATTCTGGCCAGCTTGGGAACCAGAGCCGCAGGTGTGTTGAGCGGTTTAGGGTTTAGGGTTTAGGGTTTAGGGCTTAGGGTTTAGGGTTTAGGGTTTAGGGTTTAGGGTTTAGGGTTTTGAGCAAGAACCTTCTGTGTCAGCGACCTGCTCCGACCGATGCCGATATCCACACGGGAGCTGACCCTAGACTCTCAGATGACTTAGTTGGGAGCCATGAGAAGTTCATGGTTGGGACAATATTAAAACTTAGTTTTCTGTTCCTTGTTGGGTTTAAGTACCCTTAAAATCTAAAATGGTACACAACTATGACTAAGATGAGAAGAATCCCCTTCCTTGTCATGTCCTTTCCGTATTGATGTTGGCGCCCATTTCTACCCTTCTCCGCGGCGAACCCGGAAAGTATGCCATAAGTGGCGGCTGAACTCGGCAAGCCATAGGGTTTAGGGTTTAGGGTTTAGGGTTTAGGGTTTAGGGTTTAGGGTTTAGGGTTTAGGGTTTAGGGTATAACGCCCATCGGGACTGAAGTGTTTTAAACACTTCAAGGCCTTGGACAAGAGCCCTTGCGCTGGTCCAAAAAGCGTGCAGGAAAGCCCCTAAACCCTAAACCCTAAACCCTAAACCCTAAACCCTAAACCCTAAACCCTAAACCCTAAACCCTAAACCCTAAACCCTAAACCCTAAACCAACAGCACGAGGTGCTGGAGTCTCTACTAACTGTTTCTAACTGCGCTTGGATATCAACAAATTGATTCCCTCCTCCGCGGATGTTGTGACTGAAACTTTCGGGGTGGGAGCTGGCGACCCCTCCCGGATTCGGAGTTTGAAGTTCTTCACCTTCGTAGCCCAGGAACCATACTAGGATAAGGGCACCCGTTTTGGGGTTTGCTATTTTTGTTATAAAGGAACCTTGAAGCAACAAAATCAAAATAAAGGTACCACTGGGCTACACAAGCCACGATAAAGGCCAGCAAGTAGACGCCCTCCACGTAGGCGAGCCTCTTGCCGATGCAGGCGCGACCACCGAAGCCAAACGGGAGGTACATGTCTGGGTAACCTTGTTCCTAGGTTGCCCAGGCACCTAGGATTAAACAAAAAAAAAAACGCATGATTTTTGCGTTTAAGGGGTTTAGAAGGGAAGCTTAGCCCCTCGAAGAGGGAATAAGGGTACTAAGTACTGTGCATCCGAGCTTCCATTCTCTCAGGACGAAAGGCCATCACATCACTTCCCCACGTTTCTTCACTGTGTGCTAAGATCAACTGGCATATCAGGATCAAAGTGCCCTTTGGAAGTGTGTACTTCCCACCCAGCGTCACGTCAGCCTCTGCTTGGCGTGCATGTTGAATGACCGTCGGGTGCATGCGAAGAGCCTCCTGCCACACCATCCCCCTAAACCCTAAACCCTAAACCCTAAACCCTAAACCCTAAACCCTAAGCCCTAAACCCTAAAGCCTAAACCCTCCTGCCACACCATCCAGGTATAAGGCAGCGAAGCCTGAACATTGGTCAACCTTGGTAGCCCAGAAATGAACCCTTCTTGCAAGAAGGGTTTAGGATTTAGGGTTTAGGTTGGTTACCTTTTAAGGGAACCCAGAACCAAAGACCAAGGGTAAAAGGTACCACTGGGCTACCATGCAGCGGCATGTTGTCCAGATCGAGTGCAGATGTTTCCGCAAGAACCTTCTCTTGCACCTCAAGGAGACATGTGATTCCTTTTCAGCTTGTTCTTTAATGCAGTAAACCTCCCAAAAGTTGAAAAACATCCTTCGCCCCCATGCCTCAACTGGTATACATAAAGGGACTCCCAGCTCCAAATCATCCGTAAACCATCTTCCAGCTTTCCGGGGTTTAGGGTTTAGGGTTTAGGGTTTAGGGTTTAGGGTTTAGGGTTTAGGGTTTAGGGCTTACTGTAAGTTTTTGCCCTTGGCACCTCAGGATTGCGAGCCACCTCCAACAGCGCCCATGACGTCGTGTA